CTCCCCCTCCTGCGTGAAGCGTGTAAGCTTTGACGTTTCATTAAATTATTAGAGAAAGAAGAAGACGATGCGTTGTTCCGTTCTCTACTCTGAATCCTTGTCTGAATTTCAAAGATGTTCTTTGTCTGGTCCTTTTTCTTCCTACTTCCTCTTCTTTTTCTCTCCTTTTTTTTTTTTTTTTTTTGGCCGGTGATTTTGGGGGGACCGCCCCCACCGCCCACCCCCCCCCTTCCCTGGCTACGCGCCTGCGGTCAGATAAACACATTTAGATACCTTGTCCGACCCCGGAAGCTCAGGGGTTTAAGGTAATAAATTCCGGTCAGATAGGCATTCAGGAGCCCGCCTTAGGGCCCCTGGTGGGGTCGAGGCGGTGGAGCCCCCGGAAGCTCTGGGATTTTAGGCGTTTAATAAAGGTCAGATGAGCATATTTTTGGGTGGATACCTCATCATTTTGTGACAATGACAGGACACTATTTGGCGTGGGGTCCAGCTGGCGGATCCCCCCAAAATCAGGGGTTTTGGCATTAAATTACCGTCAGATGAGCATCTAAGGGCCCGCCTTAGGGCCCTAGGTGGAATCCAGGGGGCCCGGAAGCTTAGGGGTGGGGGGGGGGGCAACGGCCCCCGATTTCCTTCACCCTTTTCTTTTCTTCTTCCTCTTCTTTCTTTCCCTTTCTCTCCTCTTTCCTTTTCCCTTTCCCTTCCCTTTCCCTTCTTTTCCTTTTCTCTTTTTTTTTGCGGGGGGGGGGGGGGGCAAGGCCCGTTCCCCCTGGATCCGCGCCTGTTATAGGATAAAGTGCTAGAGTTTGCAATTCGTTTAGTGTAAGAAATCGATCGCAGAGCTATTCTCTTTGGAATATGTCTCGTACAAGCAAAATTTTGAAATAATTTCAGATATTTTGAATATTGCGCTATTCCTTAACCGAAATCCGTTATCATTACAACATAATAATACAATAATGTTATCAAACCATCATTAGATGTATGGATGTTGTATAACTTTGCATTCGTAGCTTTCTCTCACTATAAAAAAATGTCAGTTCAATATTATTGTTCGATTCACGAAAAAATGATAATCTTATTTTTTAACTCTTTCGTATTCCTTTACCGACGAAATAAACAGTTCAGATGTAAGTTATTTTAAAGAAATGACACCAAATGCAATCGTTATCTCTTTGCATACACATTTAACAATTAAAATTGTTTCTGACCCCTTTTAGTCGAACATTCAAAAGTACCGTCGACCGCTACGCCCACAGTTGGCTTTGTAGAATCAGAGGAATGCCTATACTATGCAAAGAATAATCGACGCAATTTCGTGAATATCACAATCTTTATCATCACGATACACTCTCAAATAGAAAGTATATTCTATTACAGTATATGATAGAAGCAGTGAGGCATCATTTGGAGGTCTAGATTATTTCATCTCTCCGTCATGGCTGGCTCGGTCCTACTCAGTTGCACGGATCTACTGTCAGTATCATGGAGCTGATTTAGCACTCATCAAATCACACGATATCAACGTATGTTCAAGTATAATTCTTTTATTTTAGCTAATGATATCCAAAATGTTGTTATCATGAAACCTATGTACTTTTTGTTGTTTTATTAGTATTTTATTTCACAGCTTGGAAGTATCATAGCTATTGATACAGGGAATAAATATCTTTTCACGACTGAATGACGTTTGTGACGTAATAGGCCAACTGGTTCCTCGTGAATGACTATGAATGTAATATCAAAAAGCGTAATATTAAGTTGATAGCGGAGATAATAAAACATTAATGTATACACCGTCATCCCAATCCCTAGGTTTGGAGCATCCCAATTTATTTCAAAACAGATTATTCTCTGATGACGCCGCAATTTCATTCACGTTTATATCGTGACATATTATTGTGAATAGTTTAATTTATGTATTTAAAATATTACTTATTATCATTGTTTTTATTGACATGACCATGACGCATGAACAGTCCTGTCATAGTATATTTTAGCAGCATCTAATGAACAAAAGATTTTTACTTTGTATATATATTCCTCTGAGCCCAGAAGAGGGTTAATTCTTTAGTTACCGCCTTTTGGGTTCACAGTAGGCTATTGACTCGTTGACTTTATTTTTTAAATTCCATTTTCATTATGAAATCGAAGAAAATGGCTTTACAGCCATGCAAATATGAAAAACATAAAAAGACAACGGATATTTAGGAGTTGACATATCTGTTTTCCTCTTACCAGACCTTTCTTCATGGCAGGATTTTGGGATTAAATAGCATTGTATTTTTTGGTTTGACTGACCAAACTGATGAAGGCACATTTAAATGGATCGACGGAACACCTTTACAGTAGGTTCAATAACTTTATAATGCATACATAATCGTTATTACTTTGAAAAAACTGCCAAACTCTAAATTACTTATACTATTCTATAATTATATGATTTGTAAAAATATTCCTTTCGTTTTATGCAGCTTGAAAAAATAGATTAAACAAAAACTAAGAAAAAAATCGCCGACATTTTCAATTGTAACTCGAAAAAAAAAGGATTTGATGTAATTTGTTGGTCTAAAAAGCAGATTATGCGTGATAATTTTTGTGATCACACTCACTAACTTTTGTTTTGATAATCCGATTATTGCAGTCGTTAATAACGAAAACAAAAAGAATGTTGCATGTCGTAATGCAAGGGACGATGTGTTTTAACTGGTAAATACATATTTTCATATTAAAAGAAACAATATTCCGCATAAAAAATACAACTTTTTAATATGCAATCCAATAATATCGTTGAAACAGTAGTGCATACAATGCTTTTCGTATATATTAATCTTCATTGGTTCTTTGTCGATTTAGATTGAAAAGTGATGTCGGGAAGCTTACTTTTTGATTGAGATATTTTCTTATGGATGGTTCGGCTCAAAATCCACTTTCGGAAGTAAACATTTTAAAGCAAATTTATAAGACAGTGCACTTATATAACATAGGTCATTGTAATCCAATCATCAGAATTCGGATTTAATTTCTGCCTATACAACCCCCGCCCCTATACCCAACCAAAAAATAAGAAAGAAGACACACAATTTTGTACTAAAAATAATATTGGTAAAAACGGTGCTTATAAAGCGCTTACCACAGGAGTCTCTAAATGCTATAACAAACAAAATACAATGATAAATAATGACATATTAAACAAACAAAAAAAGGAAATAATCCTACAAATGACAGTACATATGAAATATACGTCAATGCAAAAAGAGTATTAAAGTCAATTATAAAAAGCAATTTTGAATAAATGTGTCTTAAGACAAGTTTTGTTTAAAACCATTCTATCGTAAAACCATCTGTTTACTCCTGCATGCTTTTGGTTTTGCATTCTCCTTCATTCTATACACACAGGTATTCAGTATGGAGGGACCCTGAACCCAACAACGATGGGAATGAAAATTGTGCCACTCTATCTTCCGATTCAGACATGGGATGGCTTGATATTCCGTGTAATTTCAAGAAAACCTTCATATGTGAACGGCATCAGGGTAAGTCATTTGACTTGCCACACTCCACCCAGGTGAAGTAAATGGGGACGTGGTAGGAATTGATTCCTTGAAACGCAGCGCGTGTAACAGCTGCACTGCTAAAGCCAGGGTAATTATGCTGCATTATCTACGAGCAGCGTGCCATTTTATGTATTGGCCTTAGGAGGCAGGCCGGGGCAAATCCGAACAGAGGCTGCTAGGAGATTATACGGAAGTCGTGCAATTTCAATGCAGTAGCCGTGCAGTCTCCGCAGCTTTCGCACGGAAATCGTACGGAGCCCTTGCAGCTTCCGTGCAAAGGTTGCGAGGAGGAGGCACTGTGACCGTGCAACTACCGTGCCATTTTCAAGCTTTGTGTTGCCTCCATGTTCACCAGAAAACCGTACGATTGCTGCGCGATCAGCGCGAGTTCTCCGCGCGATACCCGTGCGGGGATTGTGCAATGAGACCTACGACATGTCTACGGACTAAGGGCCTACGATTTTTCATATTTGTATAACTTTCTGCGAAACAAAATTGTAGAGGCCGCGGAGCCCTGCGGAGCCCGTGACTCCGTACGATAATCTCACGCACATCTTCTGCCTCCGTACGGAGGCCGCACGGGAAAGGGGATACCGGCAGGAAACGGGCTCCGTAGACTAATCGCAGGCCAAATGTAGACCAAGTATAAGGGATTCAAATGGCGTCAGTCACGAATTGTACCTGCAAAATTCTCTGGTGACAAGTATGTTCGCAACCGTCAATCCTATCGTGGCCAAACTTCGATCACAGCTGCTCTCGGGGGACCTTCACATTATATAATGATCTCAAATATTACATGCAATGGTCAAGGGTGATTTGAAGTTATATGTTAAAGTTTACCAGGAAGATTATCTTTGACGATTTTTTGGGCAACCGTCAATCGTATTGTCACCAAGCCTGGGTCACAGATGCAGTTTGGGACCTTCACGGTATGGTGCTGTGGGGGTCATGCTAAGGTCAAATATGCATGTTAACAAACCTACTTATATCGATGTTTATTTAGGGCTGCATATCCAATATCTCTTAACCTTTTATTATCATCTGCGACATCGGGTCAAGGTTTGTCCACTCAAGCAATATGTGCATATTTTTCACTCTCTGAGGAGTACTCTTGCCAGGTATCATTTTACAGACGCACATAGTGTAAATCCCAAAAAGGAGAAGGTATACCAAAAACACCTGGGTGGAGAGGAGTAGGTTAGATTAAAGTGCCATGCCGAAGAGTGATTCCATGATCTTCTCAGCCTCGGCTACAGGTGTTATCAGTATGACTATGATTAAATACAATGATGCGTAATTGTTTGAAATTCTTTCTTCTTTTAGTCGTATAACACGATGAACATCTAATAATGGCAATCACCTCGTTTTAATCAATATGTAGACGTTCCAGAATATAAGTGGAGTCGCCTTGATGGAACCCTGTACTATATATCTCAATCCTGGATGACGTCATACTCATTTGCTAGAAAGTACTGCCAGGCTCAGGGAGGTGATCTTGTCCAGCCTAAAACAGAAGAAATCAATGTAAGGACGCATCGTGATATTAAGAAGTTCAATTCCGAAGGATGGAATACATAAATAAAACGTGATAAATATTTTAACGGGCTTTAATCTAGCAATTGTATGTGCACAAACCGAAAATAGAAACAATAACAATATGTAAGAGAAATAGATATTCTGGTAGGTTATTCGAAGACAATCGGGAAAGGGTGTAAAAGGTTATGGAGAAGCTTTGTATCAACGTGATAAGCCTACATATCGATAACATTATCCCACAGTCATGATCATGGCACATTAAAAATATTCATCGGTGATTTTCTCTTTCCGATTTATTCTCTCAACGTAATCAACAGTTGCATCTCATTGAGCTGGCCGGAGGTAACTCGTATTGGTTTGGACTCGATGATATCAATCAAGAGGGCACGTTCCAATGGATTGATGGCACTCCGCTCGATAATAATGGGTATGTGATAAACTGTATTTTTCACACAGAAATACACGCGCGCACGCACACGCACACACACGCACACGACAATATCTCACACACCCTACTCATGACAAACTGCGATCATATCATGATGCAGACAAATTGCAACAGGTAGAAACTGGTGTGTAACTTTAATAACATGATTATCTGAGAAACAGGTTGATATTCATAAAACTTGGAATGTATTTTCCAATTGGTTGATGTGACCCACACCCCCCCCCCCACCCGTTTCATATGCGGACCTCATGGAGCCTAAACTTATGCAAGATCATAGTTACCAAGGAATGCATAAATATCTATACTGTAAATACATTGAACTAATACACATTTTAGCTCAATTAAAACCCTTAAAATAACGATTTCAACCTTTCATGATAATGCCCTTTAAAGTGTTTTTTAAAATTAATAATGTGATAATACACTGCTGTTTGGAACATATTTTACCTTTTAAGATTTCCTGCTTGGTCGGATGGTGATACAACCCTATTTGAGAATGAAAGATGTGTTCATCAGCAGGTTAATAACGGATGGAGAAAACGACGATGTACATCCTACCTCAGGTTCGCATGTGAAAAACCTCCGAGTGAGTATTGTCATTATATTTCTATTATCTATATTCAGGGGCACTCCTTTATGATAGTCCATGCTCTAACGATGCTCGTTCTACCTTATTACATTACATTTGAAATTCCACAAACGAAACAACATATCGATTGATGACATTCTAATATTGTGTAACCACTATTTTGAATCCGTAGTTGTTATCCTCTCAAAACAGAATATCACCACTCATTGTAATCGATGCTTGTACAGTATTTTCGAGGCAAAAATGGAAATACTTTATCATTTGAAATATATTATCTGCATATTTAACATTCCTATTTATTTAGGATTTATCTACAATTGATAACTCGAGGGAAAGTGACTTCATAAAGTGTCATATATCATTTAGATTGGGTTTCCCATGAATTGTTATAAGATTCGGTTTTAGAAGTGGAGGCAATTTTGTTAGAAAATATATGTATGAACATGTATTTGTATTTATCAAAAGGTACAAAACGTTATGATAAGATACGAAATGTAAAGTTGAATTGGAGATAAGTTATCGCCTTGGCAACGTTATGTATGTTTCCCCTTACTTCTCCTCTAACGAAGATGCTAGGCGAACACCAATAACCTGAAAAACATAATGCTTTTTCCATAGGTCCGCGACAGATCCTTCCTGTACGTCTAATGGCAGCTACTCAATCACCATACGGAGGAGGTCTGGTGAATGCTTCATTTGTCTGTCTACTCGGCTCAGAGAATGAAGAGATTCTCACATTCTCTACAAGAAGACTCAACCGTCTGACCGAGTCTATAACTTCAGATAGTTACACAGCTCCAGGAGACAGCAATGTTGTATCATCTGTAGTATTAAGACAGACTCTTCCAGCTACTATGGAGGGCTTGGGTTTTTTCGAATGTTCTACAGTGACAGCCAGTAGAATGACATCTGTTCCTCTTGGCATTCTTCTTTCTTCACGTACATATACACAAACAGTTAACAACTAAGTTATTCATACCTCTAGTAAATTAGTGTGTGCGTTTTTCGTATTATAATGAAGTATCCGAGGTGGAATTGTTGAGTGAGGGCTTTTGTTGAACATTTTCATATGTAAGCTCTAAAATTTTACATTCTAAAGACACAATTGGGACACATCAATTTTTCACATGCAAATTTGGTAAGTTTATTAACAATTTAATTGTTAATAGTTTATATTAAAATTATGATACAACAAACAATTTCAACTCATTTGAAATATTTCTGAAAAGCAAATGCTATGATTATGTTGAAACTCAAAGTACTCCTCAATATTATAACTACGAATGCTTGAAACTCATTTCTCCCTACTGTCCAGTTTTATTCTAAGAATGTTTAGTTAATTACAATGTAAAAAATAACGGAGTATAAATGGAGCGAGAGGGGGAGGGAGAGAGAGAGAGAGAGAGAGATAATGGAAGACGTGATGACGCAATTTAATTGAATCAGCAAAAAAATAAAATTCGAATGTAAGGTGTTGTCGATTTTTCTTTCCTATTCTTTATAGGTCAATTGCAACCCAGTGATGGTCGGTTTACAAAGACAATACAAATTGGAGATGATATCACACTCAGTGTGATGAGCACGACAGGGATGGTGGGAGAAGACGGGATAAGATGGCGGAAATTAACTGATGTAGACTGGGCTAATTCACTTATTGGAATGAGTTCTGACAGTCTATCACACACGATCCAATCTGCATCTGTCTCAGACGCCGGTGTGTATGTGACGTACATGGATGGAACATTGGAACTACATCAATTCAGCCTTATAAGACTCATCGTAAAGGGTTCGAATTTCGTCTTCCTTACACATCTAAAATAAATAATTGCATATTGGTCGCAAGGGTATAAATACACTAGTTACCCCTCAGCTTTGTAGCTATGTTCATTAAAAAAACAAAAATCAAGAAGAAGAAAAAAACTGACCCGACCCGACCAGATATATTTTGGTTAATACGATAGTAAAGAATAAGGAATATCGATGAATGCAAAGTTGTAATTTTCGTGATTGAATGACAGTTTCTGTAGTATAAAGCCTAATCGAGGACTAACACATATTTACAAAATACACTCAGCTTCATCGCCTAATGGTGTGGTTTTAACTTTTTACAATGAAGTTTTGATTTTCAACCGTTTCAAAACTTTAAAAGATATGACTGATTTCCTTATTCTGGGGTATTTTGTACAGCCCCTCCCCCCACCCTCCTTAAAAAATGTGTACGTGTGTGTGACGGGGTATAACACCCATCTCCGGGATTAACGTACGTGTGGGATATACATTATAGTTGTTCATGTTTCATTGAATTAACAGAATGCCCTTATGGAAGATGGAATCCACCATTATGCGATCGTTTGTGTGATAGTTGTTATAATGGAGGTGTATGCCACGAACTCTCAGGAACATGCATCTGTCCCCCTGGTCATGCTGGAAAGAACTGCTTCCAAGGTAAAACTAAGAAATCCCTAAAGAAGATACTACCATGTGAAACTTTTTAATTCTATGTCCAATAAAATCTTTGCCTTGAAATGAGTCTTTACAATGATATACTAATCGTTGTATGATGGTGATTCCTATTAATAATAACTACAACCACAATTACAAGAATAAGAAGGAAAGATGAGGAAGAAAAGAAGAAAAAGAAGGAGGAGAAGGAGAAGACGAATGATAATAATGTTTAAGAAATATAAGAAGAAGGAGAGGAAAGGAAAATAAGAACAAAAGGAAAAGAGGAAAAAGAAGAAGACCAATTATTATGATGATGATAATGATGATGATGATGACAGTACTACAAATAATCGTAATTAGTATAATAAAAACAATAATGATGCCAATAACACTAATAAAAATGATGATTTAAAAAAAAATGCTAAAACTATTAAATATAATGAAACACTAGTTTTATTAATACGTACATTTTTACTTGTTTTGTTTCCATAAGTAACTATTAGTTTAATTGAATTATTATTTGCCAATGATTACAAATGTCAAAAACAGACTTTTTTCACAATCAAAACAAAAATAATAAAATACTACAATGGGAAACTTTTCAATTTCTATGTCCAATACATTTTTTGCCTTAAAATGAATCTTTACAACTATATACTAATTGTTTTGTAATGGTAATTCCGAATGATAATAACAGCAACAATAAATATTAAAATAAGAAGGAAAAGAAGAAAAAGAAGAAGAACATGAAAAAGAAGAAGAAGGAGGAGAAAGAGAATAATAATAATAAGGAGAAAAGGAAATAGAAGAAGAAGGAAAGGGAAATAAAATATGAAGAAAACAAAAAGAGAAAATAAAGTCTAATGATTATGATGATGATAATAAAGTAATGGTAATAAGTATAATAACAACAATAATGATGACAATTCAATTCACAGTTTATTCAAAGTTTATTCAACACTCTTCATAAAATCACTTAAAACATACAAATACAGAATGGAATGACAAAAACAAGATAGTGATAACAAATAGCAATGGCAATTTATGAGAACATTTGGGATAGGCAGAAAGGAGGGATTCCTTATATGAAAGCCTACCCCTAAGACACACACACACACAGGAAAAAAAAAGAAACAGAACCACAAAAAACATACTAACACATACTATCATGTACAATCAGAGTTAAACAAATGTCAAAGTTGCCCATGCTATTAATACTGATTATTATACTTATTGAACAGAAATGTTTTATATGTAATTATTTAAAAACACAATGATGATAAACATAATAAATGATGATATCAGTAAGGATAATGAAACACTCGTTATTATAAATGAACTTCGTGAGAGGATGAACCATTTTCACTTGTTTTTGTTTCCACAAGTTACCATTAATTTAATTCAATAATTATTTGCTAATGATTATAATGACAAAAAAAGACGTTTTTCCCAATCAAAACAAGAAGAAAAAACAATATTGCTGCCTGGGACATAACAGTTTTGAATGTTTTTAATACTTTTGAATATTACATGCTCGACTCTTCTGAAATTGTAGAATATTTTAGAACATTTTAATTATATTTAAATTAATCACTCTAATATATACATTTTCATGCAGCGTGTGGGATGCATAAGTTTGGCTTGGACTGTGAATTTGAATGTGGACCCGGTCAGCCTCTGGACAAGTGTGCTGGAAGTCAGATCTGTCTACCCGATCCTTTTGGATGCACCTGTTTAGCTGGATATACAGGAATCTACTGCAATGAAAGTTAGTGCTCTAAACGACTGTTAGCATTATTGACATTAGGAAGAAACTTTGAAATACAAAAGGTATTTTAACCTTTCGTTTTACACAACTTGCACATTTCAAATCCGAATTCCTACGCAAAATTTGTCTAAGATGTATATTTTAAAAGAGGATTTATATTGGCATATATGCATGGATATTATCATGGTTTAAGAACTGGCACCTGTGTATTACTTCGATAATATATTAGGGCGAATGTGAATTGAAATATTATGCGGAGCAAATTAACTGAATAATATCTCCACAGATCTACAAATCTCGTTATCACTTCTATTTCGTCCTAAAGCATGTGCAGATGGTATGTTTGGAGCTGATTGTCTTCAAGAATGTCATTGTACTGATGGGGCAGATTGTGATGACGTCACTGGAGAATGTCCTGGAGATTGCTCGCTAGGATGGTCTGGATCAGCATGTCAAGGTACAATCATTTAATTTACTTGAAAATGACATATGAAGGTTCATAACAATGCTGAATAAATTTCATTGGTAAAAAAAGGGGCCGAGATAAGTCCCAAACTTTCATGTTGATTATTTTTTCCCAACGCAACTTCTTTTCGATGTGATTTAAAAAGCCAATTTTCTTTTTGAATATTCCTATGCCGCGATTTCATTCCATCCGTAAACCGACAAACAATTAACAGAATAAAAATGCATGTTGCCTTCATTAAGTTTCTGTTTTTAACGTAATGGCATAGTAAATAAGTGTACATATTAATAAATTGCTTTAAAAACATGGCTAAACAGTACCAACAAAATATTTTCTATTGTCTACAAGGACATTCACATAGACATTCAATGCACTTCAAAATGGCAAAATATTTCGTATATGATTATCTTGCACTCCTTTTCTGTGTATTTCGGTCTGCACTGTAAGTTAGGATGTGGCATGCATTCCTTGAGATGCTCTACAAGGCGAATTTATGTAAATTACCCTAAACAAACACCCCCCACTGGACCCTGGGCTGTTCCATGAACAAACGGGGGTGATTCTGTTACATAATATATATCACAGTGACGGTAAATGCACTGCAAACTGGCAACATTTATTCTTGCATTAGTTGAATTCTAGCGATACATTGACTTTCGACAACCCACACCGCACTGGTCAGGCAGGATGAATTATTTTCCTGCACAACTCTATTGCGTTCGAAATCAGAATAGAAATAAATGTTAAAACGGCGCGCTCAGTATGAATTCGTGCAATACTTTTGCGTTCGAAATCATTTACTGCAACAATTCTTGATATCAAGAATTTGATTTCTTGATATCAAGAAATAATTTTACGTTGTAAAGCAATGGTAGTTCTTGATATCAAGAAATAATTTTACGTTGTAAAGCAATGGTAGTTCTTGATATCAAGAATTGAATTCTTGATATCGAGAATTCGATTTCTTGATATCAAGAATTCATTTTTTGATATCAAGAATAGAATTCTTGATATCAAGAAATATGAATAAATGTTAAAACGGCTTGCCATACGCACACACGCACATCTTTCCGTACGGTGAATCATCATGTCTAGCTGTGCAAACAACCTATTGGGACCGGTCTGTTCACATACCATTAATCATTACAATCAATTATGATCATATGCTAGTACAGTGAAGCTCTGTCGATAAAGACCACTTAATGGAGCCAGGAAATGTAGTCTTTGAAGACAGGTGGTCACTAGAGCAGGTTTGACTGTACCGGATTCATTTATCATTTATCTATCAA